TGAGACATTCCCACTAGAAAGGACAAGCAGACTGGAACAGCTACAGTGACAGAAGATACATCTTCATGATGAACCTGACCTATACTCAGAGTGGTCGTTACTCTAAATACCAACAGAGAGGGAAAGAGTCTTCAAATCAAGTTTCTATGCAATTCACTGTACACAGGGTAGATAGGAACGGGCAACTTAAGACACTGGCTACCTAAAATGAGGGGGCAATAAAGGCACAAAGTGACTCGCTTACAAGGTTTCAAGAGGGAGTTTAGCTTAAGAGTATGGAGGGGAAAGAAAGAGTCCCCCCACTGAATAGCTGTCATCTTGTCTAGATGGGTCTGGTGAAAATAGATGGGGATAAGATTCCTAAGATTCAATAGTGAATAACTGTTATCATGACTAATTGTGACTGTCACAATTGTAAAGATAGAAAGTTTTGTAACAAAAAAAGGGTTAATCTTACAGTCCAGAAACAGAGGACCCTAGGACCATCAAGAGAGGAACGCACAAGCAGAGTGCAGGATCTTATCCAGAGAAGCAGCAGCGCCAGACACAGGGGCATTGAGAGGGGAGCGGCTGAGGACTCTAGCTTCATGGACTAAGAAGAGAAGGACTAAGAACTGGTGGCTAGGAGCAGACTTGCAGAATGTGCCCTTTGGAGATATAAATTATTATATATGCCTGAGTGGGTTTTTTTGTTTGTGTGGTTTTTAAAAAGCTAAAGTGGATAAAGAGAAATACTGTCAACTTATGATACATCGAGGGGATTATAACCAATGTAGTGAAACAAGGTATATGATTTGTTGAATGTAAAACTGATGATATGCCCTGTAAACTTTCACTCAATCCACAATAAAAACCTTTAAAAAAAAAATACTACAAAGCATCTTTTCAGACCACAATGCTATAAAACTAGAAATCAACCATAAGAAGACCAAGAAATAAAGTCGAATACATGGAAACTGAATAACACCCTGCTGAAAAGCAACTGTGTTAAAGAAGAAATTAAACGTGAATTCTTAAAGTTCCTAGAAACAAATGAGAATGAAAACACAACATACCAAAATCTTTGGGACACGGCAAAAGTGATGCTGAGAGGACAATTTATTGTGATAAATGCGCACATCCAAAAAGAGTAAAGAACCAAAATTAACACATTAACACAGCATCTCCAACAATCAGAAACAGACCAACAGAGGGAACCTGTAGTCACCAAAAGGAAAGAAATAATAAAGATGCTAAACTGTGGAGTCCTGTGATGTGGATTAATGCACTGGACTGCAAAGTTGGTTTGAACTACAAGGCTGGCAGTTCAAGCTCACCGGTTTCTCCTTGGAAACCCTATACAGGGTGGTTATGGGTCAGAGCTGACTTAACATGTAACAGCAGCAAGAACAACAAACTGCTTTGTAAATTACAGTATATAGTATTTGTGTATATATGAAGTACTGTTGACGTTGGTAAGTGCTAGTGCTGTCGAATCAGTTCTGACTCACAGCAACCCTGTATAGGGTTTATGAGGCAGAACTAGAAAGCCTCATATTTCTCCCACAGAGTAGCTGGTGGGCTTAAACTGCTGACCTTGTGGTTCATAGTCTAGCGTTTATCATACAGAGCCACCACATCCCCACTGTTAACATTAATGAACTGTTTAATAAAAAAGGAACTCGACAGACACTATTTTGGCTCAAATTACAGTAATTCAATGGGAAAACTGAGTGAGCTTTGACTAAGTCAATAAGGATTTTACAAATACTGGAGGTGAAGTGTTAAATTACTGAGATTTACATAGATCTGTCATACACTAGCCACTAAACGACATGATGGTAGGCACTGTCATCCCCACAGAATGTTGAGGCTTGCATTTCTAATTAAAATGGCTACATACCTTCATTTTGAAGACCGGCTGGAATTCTTTCAGAATTGATAACAACTTAATTTGATGTGAAGCTCTTTCGGCTTCTTTACCATCTGCAAAAACATCAAAGAGGGCATCCAGAGCTTCTCCTGCTACTACAAGGGAAGGATCTTTGGTGGCAACCTCAAGCAGAAAGCACCCAATGGTCTGGAGATAGCAAAACACATTATTATAGTCCAATAATCCCTATGGTGAATCTTCAAAGTAAATGATGTTTGAAAAATTGTGTTAAAAATCATGAAATTCTTCCCTCTACCTTCCTTAAAAAGGGTTTGAAAATAGAAAAAGAAAACCCACATGTTAAAAATTACAAAGAATTACATGATACATTTGTGATAAATACAGTTATAAAAGAAATTGTCCCCATTTTGGGGCATACATACTGAACCAATAGAAGTAAAATATCATGGTATCTTTAATGTACCTTAATGTATCCAGCACAAACATTATATGAAATGTATATGACAAATAGAAATTGTTAAACCTACTCAAAGGTTACACAAAACTCAATGTACTTTCAATACTTCCAATCTTTTTTGTTCTTCTAAAGAAGACCTTAAAAATGATAGACTTAAGAGGTAAATTCATAAATTCACACATAGACTCTCATTGACTTGTATCTATATATACCCTATTCCTAGAATAATACAAAGGGAAATGATGACAGTAGCTCTCTCTCCTGTGTGAAATGGGGAACTAGGAATTTAGGGTGGAAATTAGTCTTTTCAATATATATTCTTTTGTACTTTTATAACTTGTTTTTGTTATATACATGAATAATTTAAAAAAAGTTATTAAAAAGATTTGGTCACCCCATTAATAGAAAAAATGTTGTATATACATACAATGGATATTACTCACCCATAGGGAAAAATAAAATTCTGATACATGTCCCAACATGGATGACCCTTGTAAACATGATGCTCGTGAAATAAGACAGTCACAAATGGACAAATTATCTCATTTATATAATACAAACAAATATACAGAAACCAATGTTACGG